ATACACACACGCGTGTATATATATATATATATATATATATATATTTATATATACACATACATGTATTCTGACATATGAGATATGAAATCTTTTATAAATTATTCATGTACAATTTAACCTCTCAAAGAATTACTTTTTCAGTGATTTAACCTTGATATTTTTATGTGTATATGTAGAATAACGAGAAGAATCGATTTATGCAAAATGAGTCAAATAATATTACTAAAAAAATTATTTCTATCTCTTAATCTGATTTAATTTTTCGATTTATGAGATATTTTTCTTCAGCTGAACGAATATTATCTGCGTCATTTAAGTCTTTTGCATTGTGCGCTCTCTCTCTCTCTCTTAAATAAATTAGATAATAAATAGCCTATCGCAATATTTCAATAATTTTTTTTACGTTATCTAATATACTTGTCTCGTAAAAATGTCAATATTGTAAGAGTAAAAATAAAGTTTTATCTTTTTAATTAAAGTAGACTGTAAAGGAATTAATTGTTTATGATATATTAATGAGAGATGATATTTCACATTATTTAAAGCATATTTGATTTTATACTTAAAAATTATTGCAAGTTAATAAAATTATACTGATTAATTCCATAAGTTTAAACTCTCGGTCTTCTCACATAGATTCAACATCGTTAAATTTTTCTAGAAGAGGGCAATGGCCTTCAGATGGAATCCTATCTTGTCCAACCGATTTATTAACTTCATTAACCGGTTCTAGTATTGACGTAGAATGTTTACAACCAATGTTTCGAGCAGATTATCGCATGGAGAAGCGGTCTCCCGTGAAAACACGCGATTCGAAGTAAAAGGCAAGTACGGTGAAAGGAAAATAAGCGATTTACCCTCGCGAGTACATACTTATACGAATAGATCTCAACACTTACGGATTCTCTTGGGTTTTACGTATTTGCACAAGTGATTAAGTTCGTCTTGCTGGTAGACTGGTCGTCTGACCATCAATTCCGGGCCAGTCGACATATCGTCGCTCAAATAATCTGCGAACAAGCAACAATTGGGTGAGATCACACTCTGCGTGCGCGCTTTATTACGTATTTTAGTCAACTTCTAAATTTACTGTGTTTGTTGTTTATCATCATTAAACGACGTGCCTAATTTGAAAAAATTCGATTAGTTTTAATTCAGTTCGTAACTGGGACATATGTTTTTAGGTGGACAATTTGAGATATATATCGTATATGTTTTTAGTTGGACAATTTAATAAAAGCACATAGAATATTTTTCTTCATAGTATTAAAAGTAAATTATAAAATATACATATATTCAAAAAACAAATTGTAATTTTTGGCAGCACATGTTTGAGATTTTGATGTAGTACAACAAAATTGTTTTTAGGTCATCTTTTCTATGTTATACATATTGAGTCCGGTATATATACATGCATGTATTATGCTTACGTATATTATCGAAGTATACGTATTTTATCGTAGTGACATAATCATGCAATGTAATTACGCAAAAAAATCATACAAACAGCGAGTGCAATTTATCATCACACAATCTTGTAAATTTTCTATCAGATTAAAGTTGACGTAAGCAAACTTTGTTTATTCGATGTAAATTTAAACGAAGATTGTGAAGAGATTAGGTTCGCATATAGCTTGCATTGTCAAAAGAAATTAATTGAGTAAACGATAATACAGTTGAGTAATATGATGAGATTGATTTAATCATTTAATAAGTTACATCGATAAATATTTGAGACAATTATATATATATATATATAATTATAAATATCTATAATAATTATAACAATTGATAAATACTTGTGTATGAGTAATGCCTAATTGATAAATATATTTCTTTATTTATTTTTCTTATTATAATATCGAAGTGGTACTATTTTTACTAAATCAAAAAAGTAAATCTCGAGTATTATTATTTTTAAAAATGCAAGTGGAATTATCTTTATCAAATTAAAAAGTAAAACAAAATGATATTATTTTTTAAAAATTATCATTAAAAATTCATTACTTTTACATCTATTTTTAATTATTATACATTTTAGATAGTTTTCATAGTTTTTCTTATTCGATCTAGCAGCGCCAAGTGTTTTACATAAAAAATGTTTCTATTTAAATACATTTTTTTTATTTTGTACTGTTACTTCTTTAATTTTTTGTGGTAACATTTGAAATGTATAAAAATGAATAAAAATAAATAAAGTAAAATGCAATTTTGCGATATAGTATGAATAGTGTTTGAAAATTAATTGTGATATAATTTTTTTAAAGAAGAATTAAACTTGGAATAGGAAGATTTTTCAATAAGAATACAAAGACATGTACTTAGATTTCATTGTATTTGAAGATAAAGATAGTATCACATGGGTTTTACTTTTTAATGTAGTAGAATATAATAAGAAAGTATGCGGGTTTTTAAAGATGGTATCACTTGTGTTTTACTTTTTAATTTGGAAGAATATAGAATTTAACTTGGCGCTGTGACTATTAATATCAAATCTTTTATACAAATAATATACATATGTCATTAGAATTAAGTAAATAATAAGGATGATATCACGTAGGTTTTTAAAGATGGTAATAGAATTTAAATTAGCGTCAATTGTTGATATCAAATCTAATATGCAAATGATACATGTTATAAGAATTGAGTAAGTAATAAGAATAGTACCTCTTAAGTTTTCAAAGATAGAATTTAACTTGGCGCCGACTACTGATATCAAATCTTTTATACAAATGATACATGTCATTAGAATTACAAAATTTAACTTGGTGCAGACTGTTGATATCAAATCTTTTATGCAAATTATATATGTTATTAGAATTAAGTAAGTAATAAGGATAATACCTCTTAGATTTTTAAAAATAGTAAAATTTAAAATTAAATTTGTTATACAAATAATACGTGTTTTTAAAATTAAGTAAATAATAAGGATAGCTCTAGTTTACATCATGGTGGAATTGATAGGTGTCTATTAGGGTGGAATAGACAAGTGTCTACTAGGGCGGTATTCATAGTACATTCTTATTTTAAAACCGTCTTAAATATTCTACTAAATAGCAAATGTGATTAGTCAGTTCCACAGCCGATTAAGTAATTGACGTTGGTGAAACTGGCTCAAATGGTTTTTTTTTACCAGAAGCACGCACTCTCAGCGCTTTTTTAATATTTTTTTAAAAATTATAATATACTGTAAATTATTAATATTTACGTTTACTAAAAAAAAGTTTAGTTTATTTTATTATATATAGTTATAGTTATCAAATTTGATTGAAACAGTTTGAACTAAAAATGTTGTATTTAATATAACTAAACATAATTTTATTTTTACAAATATTTAATAAGTACTGCCAAACGGTATCTACCAATGGTAATACTTATTTACTCAATAAATTTTATAAAGACAAATTATGTTTAATTATATAATATTATCTCGAAAGTTAATTGAAGCTATTTCCCTCAATATTTGATAGCTATAACTAGACTTTTTTTTCAGTGTTGAAATAATTGAAAACAAATTTTTTTTTATTAAACGAATATTTAATATTGATTATTTTTAAGAATGTCATTCTGATAAATTTGAAATTTAAAAAAAAATACTGCCATTATTTCAGTCAAATTTTGTTAAATTATTTGTAAATTTTAACCGATGTCTACGTGAATATTACATTGTATTTATTTATTACATTTTTATGTTTATATACGCACTAAAAGTGATCTCGTTATAATTGAAACGTCTGTGGAACTATCATTTTTTTGTGTTTAAATGATACTATAATTTGGTATATTTGAATGATGCTATATGTATTAATTAGCACGTACAACCTGCTTGGCTTATTATTAGTTTCTGTTTACCCTTGTAGTTTTTAATTTATTCAGCTTTAAAATTATTTATGTATTAATAATTTTTGTACTAAATATTGTATACATATATCCAAAAAACGGATAAATTAGGATCTGAATAAGTCACCATCAATTTAATAAGGTGGCATTTAAATAATTGATAATAATAATTGTTGCGATCAAATCACTTACTCTCGATAGAGATAGGATAAGAGTATTAGGATTATTAGTATTTTTACTACAAACTATACCTGTTGACATCGTCAAAATGTCTCTCCCGCGGTATCTTGGAACTCGGCGATTATTCACTGCTCTGTCTACTCATGAAGTCTGTTTCGCGATAAGCATAAGAACTTTCACGGACTAAGAAGATCTGATAACTAAGCGCATGCTTATAATGATACTGGTAGATACTGGTAATTGGTCGACATCCTAATTCAATATGTTCAATGCAATGGAGATAATTTTGAACGAGAATAATACGCGCCATCGGGAGGGATACAAGGTTTACTCTTAAGACTTTTTTATTGGGGCTCTCTCTGTCGACCATTACACACACACCGCTAATTGGTCTTTGCGATAATAGATAAGCGAATTTTAATCGCGGCGATACAATTGATATTACATTAATATAGAGATAAGCAACTGGTATTACATTAATATAGAGATATACAGCAGAGAGATAAGCAGAGAGATAATCATTAAATAACTCTGTGTACATATACTGATAGAAAACAAAATATCTGATTGACTATAAATTGATAATCCTAAAATTTAACCTAGAACTTTACCTAGAACAAGTTTTACAAAATAATAAGAACTAAAAGTACTGAATAAACTATAAAAATATATTACGGCAATACACTATTTGTAAATTATTGAAATAATGATTGAACTATAGCGTCTTAACTATATAATATGAAGTTGTAAGAACAATAAATAAATGAAACAAACTAAAAAAGTATAGTGATATTAATTATTTGTAGTAAATGATTAATTCTATTTTCTTTTTTCTAGTTCCTAAAACTTACCATTGTTCTTACTATACTTATAATACATATACCTAGTTGAGTTATTTCTTCTCAAATTTTTGCTATACGATCTCCTTCTGTGGTTGTGAGCGTATAATCGCGAGAAGGTAGAATATTTGATTAGTTAATCAGAAAACATCACATGACGTTGGCTGAAACTTTATACATGCACAAAATAATACGATTTTTTTTTTGTGAAAATAAAGTAATTGTCGGATCTATTTTATATAGTTTGAATAATAAAATCGTAAGTAAGAAATGATAAAATAATTTTTTACAAAATATTTTTTTAATTAATATTTTATATTATTTTGAAGTACTAAAATATTTTATATACTTTTTTTATACTAAAAAAAGAAATTTGAGCATGCGGTGCGTAGCCATTTTTTTCTCTCCCTCTCTTTCTTTCTCTCTCTTTCTCTAAAACTATTATATTATATTTTTTTATATTATATTAATTATAATTTTAATCATAATTGTAATAATACTTACGCTAACAAACATTATTTATACCATAATGTTATGTTTATAATTATTTTCCTCGTGTTTTCAACATATAAACATGTCTCAAAAAAAATATTCCAATTTCATTCATTGAAATAATATTTTTTTAAAGCAAGCATTATAGGAGAAAGTAAGGAAATTATGCGCAATGGATAATTGTGAGCGTCTTGTTTTGACACTTCCTTGATAAATAGAGACTTAATCATGACAAAATTTATAAATTGTAAGAAATTTTTTCAAGATGTAATTATAGATTATATTGTTTATATTATTTAAAAACGTAATTAGTAACAAAAATAAAAAAAGTAAAATCACGTATTTTAATTTAATTTTTGGCATCCAAAAAATAAGATAGTAAGCTCGCATTATTTTTTGTTCATTTGGCCTTGTACATTTTATTAAAATATGTTATTATATGTGTATTTTACTATTGGTTATTAAGTTAGGTTAAAAAGTCTTTGAGTAATCGTTTTTCTTATCAGTTCGCGATGGTAATTTAAAGTTACGGTCTTTTAAAATGCACTCAATTATTCTCGCCTTGCACATATTACGTGACTATGTGTTTTGTTTTTTTTCATTGTTTCGAATGTCTCGTAATTATGAAAGAAATACGAGTAAAAATAATTAAATTGACACATAAGACCTAAATACAATTTTTCTAATTTTTATAACATTTTTCCAAGTTTTGTATTAATTTAAAAATATAATTTTTTATTTCTTTATCAACATTCTATAAAATATTGATTTCATTCATTTCCTGCGATTTTTGTCTTGTACATAATTATTTAGCCCGTCCAATTATTCAGTTTTGCTTTTCCTTTTTCCTTTTTGCCAAATACAACATCACCAAATGAAAAATTGCTCGATGTGAAACTATATAATGATGGTCGAATGTTTATGGCTATTCCCATTGCTTATATCAATTTCAATTTCATAAATCATTCTATAGCATAATAAATTATGCGTACTTTTAGGTATACCGCACAATTCCTCTACTTTCTTCCCTAATATATATATTTTTTAAAGTTTATATTATTTCCTCTCTTTTCCGAAAATACTTATTTTTATTTTTTCGTAAAATATGATTTCAGAATAAAACTTTTTTTGGTACTTTTCTACAATACTTTTGCTTACGGTTTTACGGAAAACCTTTTTCCGTTTACAGATTTAAATTCTATACACTTCAGCGTTTTGAAAAAAAAATCCATTTAAATTTGGAAAGACAACGAAGAGAAAGAAGCTTTGGATGTAAATTAAAACTGTTTTTTGGACAGGAAGAGAGAGAGAGAGAGAGAGAGAGAGAGAGAGAGAGAGAGAGAGAGAGAGAGAGAAGAGAGAGAGAGAGAGAGAGAGCTGTAGTTGAGAACTAAATATATAAAATTTACTTATTTTACCTGTAATATAGTTACTGTAATTTTGCTAAAATTCCTTACATGTAGCAACAAATGGATTTGATTTTCGTATTCAGCGCATCAACTTTATGTTAAATCACTTTACTAACAATAAGTTCAGGCAATGATTACAAAGTTTCATTTTGTAGGCTAGTGTAATCATTGATCGTTGTACACTTGCTGTAACGTACTGTAACTTTCACTATAGTAATACATAAAAAAAGCACGAAATAGCGAGAACAAATGTAATCGAATTAGTAGTAGTTCGGTTAAATTTTTCGTTGTATTCACGCTATTCACTAGTTCAATAATTACTCGACTGTGCGCATGATTTCGCGAACCGCAAGCGTACGCGGCGGTAAACGAGCGCATAATGCAACATGCGACTCCTTCCCACAACACGTGCGCTAGTCGTATATCCTTCGTGCGATATAAATTAATGTTTCGTTCACTGCGTGATATGCTATTCTCTTTGGATCCGTACAGTGTGATGTCAGTATGTCACATGTCGTGAGAGAGCAAATCGCGCGGTTCGTGAAACACACTGCCACCCGTTAACTGTTAACACTATATCGCAATCCGGTTACGTCGGTCAACGATAACGAACGAGTTCAGCGTACATTTGTCAATATTACTAAATCTTTCTCTTCACCATTACGTGCGTGTATTTGAAAGTAGCAATTGCTAATGATCGATTGCATCGTGACATCGCCAGTGTCTATTATATAGTTATTGTGACATTGTAAGTGACACCGTAAGTTATGGATAAAATTCGTGAATAATGAACTTAAAGACTTTAAATATTTATGTATGAATATATATTTTAGCATACATAGGGTAAACCCGGTATATACGCCGCACCTATCGAAAATTTAATTTATCAATTATTATTTACTATGTTTAAAGTAAATTAATTATATAAATAGAATCTTTGTATCATCTACTACTATAAAAAAAATATTAGAAATCTAAAATAATTTATTTTTCATATTAAAAAGTAACTTTTTCAAACCCCTGCATTTTTGCCATTTATCCCATAGGGGGGGGATAATATGGCCACTCATATATAATTCATAAGAAAATCACAAATAATCTATAAATAAGATGTAAAATGACGACGTAACTTGCATTGTTTATTAATATATGACAATTTTTATTGTTCAGAATGAAAAATGGAATACAAATAGGACTTAACACAATTTTTTAAAATAGCTTCAAATCTTTGAAAATAATCTTTAAACGTTTAAGATTTATCAACATTTATGCATTAATGCAATGTATAATTGTTAGAATTAACAAAAACTTCTTAAATAGAGCGTCTGTGCTGCGGCACAGCATCCCGCTCGCTAAAAATGCCGTATATCCCAAATAGATGGGATATATATGACAATTAATTAAACAAACAATACAGGAGCAAAGCACTTGTATTTTGCTATACAACATGCTTTACTATTCCTCTACACATATGTATTGCAAAATAACCACTAAGTCTTTTACACGCTCTATAATAATCATTTTATGATAGATTATAAATTATGATGGCACTACTTATTACAGTAAAAAATCGATTTAACTCGCAATAATTTCATTAATATTAACAGTAAAGAACTGAAATCATAACATAATACTAATATACCATAAAGGCATGTAACAAAGTAATTGACGGAAACTTATCCCCACTCCTTCTATTTTTTCTGACTTCTGCGGCGTATTTGCTGACGCGGCGTATATACCGGGTTTACCCTAAATATTCATGTCATAGTAAAATATTCTTGACAATACTCCTACAATTTCGTAAATATAACTCTTTATTAATTAATAGTAGATATCTCATTTTTCTTAACAAATTAATTCGCTTGACATTGAAAGCATTCAATTGTAATACATCAGTTATTTGTGCATATGAGAGAGTGTGTTTGTATAAGAAAAGCAAAGTAATGTTTCTTTATACCTGTACTGTTACAATTCAGTGATCTTTTTCCCTATTGATTCTTGATTAGAAGTTGCTCTGTGAATTGATGTATGATAAAACCAATGGAAAAAGAAGGAAAAAGTGTACGAAAACTATTGAGCACAATAATACGATCGTTGATCCAAAGATTTCTGTCACTGACTCATGTTCGTCCGAACGCAACGACTGGATTCTCTCACGTTTTCGTTTTCGCAAGATCGTTTCGATTACGTATTAACAGGTCGACCTTAGACGATAGGCACTGGTCTCGGACTTCTTGGCGCACGTTACTCGTTGCCTTCAGAAATTCGACTCCCGCGACTGAGCGCCACAAAATTCGAGGAGAATTTCGTCGACTGTGTCAGCGATCGTTAATGCTCGATCAACTGTTCTAATCTGCAGCGACAGAAGCGTTTTCCATTGTTCCTCTCGGAACAATAAATATCGGTCAGATTTCTCTTGATCTTGAGAGATCACGAGCAAACACCGATTGCGACAAGATACAGAGTAGGGAGCCAACTTCGTTGAAATACACATAACTAGATAATATCATAAATGCCTTAATGTTTAGTGCGTTTACGTTTATCAGGTACTTTTTTGGGTATGTTATTTGGTTATATAATAACAATAATTTCTTCAAGAAAATTTAACTATCTTATATCAATACTTTTATGTCAAATTTTTTTTAAAATTTTTTTAGCATTTTGTTTAACGATGAAGTCGAATTCATTTATGTATCACAATGTAATTTCAATCACATTTTTCTATTTAAATCATAATTAGTACGTAAATATGCATTTTTTAAAAGTATTCTTTCATTAAATGGTAAGACGTTTATGATATTTAATGCAGGAAGAAGTAATTTTCTTTCCCTTTTTCTATGCTTACGAAATATATTGCGGCAATTAGTTAAGATGCTAATTTTCGCAATATCCATGTCATGGCAAAATATCAAGCGGAACGTACCTTCTCTGTTTGCACTGTTGCATCTCAACTGAAAGAAAAAAATTTCGATAATGAGACAATATAGATATTACAACGCAAATATATTTATATACTTGTCAATTTTATTAATTTAATATATTTTTTAAAAATATTTATGTTCATAAGTATTAATATAATTACAAAAGTAAAAATTATATAATAAAAAATCTTATCTAAATGTATTACTATTTTAAATTTTAAATAGCGATTATCTTTCATCAACCTCTTTGTAATAAATTAAACTTGAAATTCTCCCGTGTACTTGAACTGAATTTTCTGATATCATGTTTTGGAGATGCAAACGATTAGTTTGATAATTATACTTAGATGTTGAAATAATACAAACGAAGACTCTTTGCATGTTTGATCACGGTATATAGAGACAAACCAGATCTACATATATGTATACTTAGACTTGTACTCACAGCTCAAATTTAGAACTGTATGTAACCGTGTAATTTCCAGCTAATAATAATATTGAATGCATTCTTCGCAATTAACAAATATTGCTTAGAATCAGAAGGCCACATTTAATGCTGCTTATAGAGAGGAATACGTATGCTATTCTATCCCGTAATTCTTTATTTCTTTGTTTTTTATTAAGGATTCGAGCCGGCACGCAATCAACTTTATTTTTTCTATTTTATTATAAATAATATAAATTTTATAAATTACAAATTTTGTTAAATGATAAATTCGAAGAATGGAATGCTATTATAATTTCACTAAATAGAAAACATATTTTCAAGATAAAGCATAAATCTCACTTTGGAACAAAAAGTTAATTGAAAAATTCCGTTCCGACGACTGCGTTGTAAAATATTGAATATCGACAATTGTTTGAGCAATATCAATAACAAACATATATAAAGGGCATATAAGAGTCTGAGTATTAAAAATAACCGTTATTAGTTTAAATAATATAAATACTATTTTAATTAATATATAATATCAAAAAACATAAGTTCATTACATGTTTCGACCTTGTATTAGGTCCTCTTCAGATGATTATTTTACAAATGTAGATAATGTTGCAATATCAATAATTTATTATTGCTATTAAAAATTTAAATATATTTAGAATAAAAACTCACGGAATGATGTATCTATAATATTTTAAAAGAGGTTTTCCGTTTTGAAATTACTAATTGGAATTTTAGATTTGTGAAATTCTATATAATTATCCACAAAGATATGTGTAATTACATTATTTGAGAAATATAATACATGTTATCCCTTTGGAGTACTCTGAATCTTTTATCTGAAATCTTTCATCTGAAATCTTTCGTTTTCTTTTGGGTATTACGTACCAGACTTTCTTCGCTTGATCCAACGTCGTCTCTGGAAATTCCCATTGGACTATTGTGCGTAGCTACGCACTCTGTACTATTTATAGCGACGAAACATTGATAGCATTCCTAACGGTTTGATAAAAATCACTGCAGTATTTTTTTTAAGAATTTAGTAAAAATAACTCTCGATCTGCTATCCGATCTCCATTTTTCGAGCGCCAGCATAATTTACAGCAATTGTCGGGTGCCACTGTCTTACTTGAACTTTCTCAACTCCGGTAAACATAAATTCTTCTCGTCAATCTGTCCTCTGTTCGCACAGACGACGAACAGTGCGCGCGCGTTCGATACATTTATTGAAAGAGATAATTTGAAGAAATGTAAATGTAAGCCGGATGCGATAATTTCTGATTCTCTCACTTACCAATATTTCGTTCGAAATATTCATCATTTTAGACACTTTTTTTGTTCTGCAAAATTAATTATTGTATTATAACGATTTTAATCTCTTTAATATAATATTTGTACTATTGTTCTAAAATAGAAGGTAATAATAGAAAAAGATATTCAGATGAAAGTAAACAAAATAATATTAATAAATGCATATATATTATAAAATATTAGAAGTAGGACTTAAAACAATTTAATGACTACATTTGCCCTTTTTTTACACCTTTTTTTTTACATTATAACATCCTACATATTTGGTATTCTATTACTTTAATTATTCCAAATGTGTAATGAAAAAATGATTTATTACAAATAGCGTGATATATTTTTATATCGTTCTAATTAGCAATTGTTTTATTCAAAATGGTTCATTTGCGGGATGGTGAAGATGCGCTATTTAGTAGTCTTTTATCGCGTTTACGTATAAACACAGTAGTGTCGCCTCATTTCGTCAACGATGCGATTTATTTGTGCTTACTTGTTTACCGTTTTTATCAGCCGCGATAAATTCTTAGGCGCCTTCGATGCGAGCGCGTAGTTTGTCTTTCCACGTTGTCAAGAACGAAAAGCACGTGTATAAGGTCAGGGAATGCACCTTTGTCTCCATCGAGAAAACTGCATATTATCTCGAAGAGATGCACGCATAATTTTTCAGAATTATAAAATATAAAATTTATATTTCATTATTTATAATACCATATTAATTATATGATAAAGCTTCGCGAACGATGGATCTCAAAGAAACTTCTTTTTTTTTTATTTAGGACCAATTAGTTCAACATATCATTTGCAAACAAAAAAATGTCTAGTCTTGCAACATTCTGTTACAAACAATGAATAACAGCTTACATCATAGCATTGTAGATCGCGTGATGTTGCGATGAATGCGCGATATCGGGATTGTAACGTTATAAAAATTTTCATTCGTCATCGCGTGCATTCAACAACAGCATGTAAATGCAAATGAGCGAAATTTGTCTCGGATCAAGAGAAAAGTTGAAGGAAGCTCAACACGTCCGTGTACTTATTCTTGCTATCATTACATAGTAAGAGTATGGTAGCTTCATAATGAAAGAGCCGATACGTGACTGGTTCTATAGATTTCGCGGAGTCTCTCGAGCTTGAGCCAATAATACGTGCCGGAATATCAGCCATCGGATAACATAGGTATAATGTGCTTGAACGTCAAGTCTACTCTCTGCTCCAGTTTTATTTTTCTAAAGCTTTCCTTTGAATGACGCGTTTCGTGAAATCTGACGTCAGTACGAACCATGATAAATGTACATATAATCCTTTTTTCCATATACATACTATATTTCTACAATTAAGGCGACCAACTGGCACTTTTTAAGAAGGCAAAAAGTGGTATTATGAAAATTCAGTATTAATTGTCGTAATTATTTGTATATAAATTTTTATAATAATTTTATTAATAAAATAATATTATATTATTATATATTTGTAAATAACATCACGTAAAGTCATAACAAAAATTACGTCAAGTTACGAGATCATATTTATTTTTTTAAATTATACTTTCTACTAAATGTACTTTATGAATAATATCTAGACCTTTTTTAATAAAAAAAATTATAAAATTCTTTATATATATATATATTAATGGAAGATTATATTTCACACTTATTTTTATTTACCATTTTACTTATTATTTTACATTTATTATTATTTTTACATGTGAAAAAGGGGCATTTTATAATCAATTTATAATTATGTCCTTAATTTGCGACCAAATGTGGGACGCGTTGTAAAGTGGAACAAAGAGTTAAAATTTGGGACTGTCATTCCTTTTGAGAGGTTTGGTTACTAATTGTAATATATATATACCTATATATAATATTAATTTCATAAATATCAAATATTAAGGAAAATGCAGAGTCCTATATTTTTTAAATCAATTAATAATCTTCATAATGTGTGAATACACTAATATTTTATACCTAATTATCTATATTAATAAATTTTGCAAAATAATTTATTATCTTTATATTACTTTATAAGAAACGAAACTTTCAATCTGCATATTATTATATAATATATAAGATAGAATACTTTCAGCAGTAATGTAATAAAAGCATGTTCTTTCTAGATGCAAACAATTATCATTTATTTCATCAGCTGCATTCAATTTGTTGAAAAATGTGTTAAAACTTTATATATGAGTTTTATGTCTTCATTCTTCTTGCTGTAGTTGAAAGTTTCCAACTTTCCAAGAAATGTTGTTTGGTTTCTTAGTAAAGTTGGAAACACAACCTGTTTTCCTCTGTGTTGGTTATTGTTTGTTACCGACTTTGAATGTGTTCACAAAATCGCTTGCAACCATCTGAAACAGACTAAAACTGACCCATCTATGTCTTCCATCACTTTTCATAATCGAGAAATCCTCCGTTTTAAAGCATCTTATATTTTATAATGTATGTATGTAAATAAAAACACATGATATATGATGTGATTCTTTTGTTATTCTGTACATAAAAAGTATTGAAGTAAAATTACCAAAAAATCAACAGTTTCTTTTAGTTAATAATTTGTTACTTATTTTAGCATATTTTGAGATAAAAATTAATATAAAAAATATCTTATAAATTATTAATATTTTTTGATAATCACATATTAATATTTTTATGCATAGACTGAGTCAACGGATGTAAAAATAGTTTCTTTTAAAAAAATTATGCAATTTGCACAGTATATATTTTATTATTATTTATTTCTTTCACATAATTCAACGTTTGGGCTTTTAAAACGAACGTACTGTTGCAATTAGATATTATTTAATAAAGAAATATTTTCTATAATTGATACGTCTGTATCAATGATTTAAAGCATATTATATAGGGTATCCCAAAATTCAAGGTAAATATTGACTGCGCAAAACCTTGTAAAAAGTTAAGTAATAAAAGTGCAAGCTATTTTTTCCTATTTTTAAAAAGTAGCTTTTAAGCATAAACGTTTAACGTGTTTGACTGATCAGAAGCGTTAGTTAAAAGTGACGTAATGTTCTTAGCTCAAATAAATTGTCGGAAATTTTGGAAAAAAGAAATGAACTTTCTTTGCTTACCATATTTTCCCAGGTTTTTTCTTTTAAAATAATTTTATTTTTTTTGTTGTCCTTTATTTTAGACAAGTTTAATCCTTTACTATTAAAATTTCAATACGTTCATTAATTCTTTGTTTCGGTTCGCTCATTTTTTTAAATTACAGTTGCAAAATTCTATGAATTAATTTTGCAAGCACTGTATTTTACTAGATTACTAAATTTGGTGGAAAGCGATACTTGCGGAACCAATTTATGATGAAATTTTACGGCTGCAACTGAAGAAATGTGAGCAGGTACATTGTCTTAATAGAATTAAAAGTTGGTTGCTTTACTATTCTAAAATTATAGCAGTGTGATATTTATGGCGTTATTTCTGTGCCATGCCTAGAACATTTCGAATTACCCTCATATATACTTAATAATTTAATAATTGAAGAGCAGACTTTCAAAATGCGTTTTGTTCAAAATTTTATTTTTGTAAACAAATAAATAGAAATGAGCATATAGCCACAACGCAAGATTCATCGCAAAAGTCATATATTTTAAAAAAGGGGAAAGTAAACGTTTCGGTCAAGTTTTGACTATCCTCAGTACATAAAAATCAATTATATAAAAAAATGCGCAATATAAAACAATGATAATCGTTGGTTGTTGATAATAAAAACAATAAGATTTACAGTGTATAACGTCAGAAAATACGAACAGTGAAAACGCAAGAATTAAAAGTGCATGTTTTTAAGTCAAAAAATAAAAATTTTTTCATGCGAATTCTTATTACAGTTATAGATTAGTTGTGTTCTTTCAAATTGTTTGAAAATTGGAAATTCTTATTTCTGATTAACGTAGAATTTATACTAAGTGCATTTTTTAACTAGAGACAAATAAAATGCATTTATTTAATATTTTTAGCAATTTTTTATTTAGTGTACTTCTACTGATTGGCATATTATTATTTTCTGCAAAGTGCGTAGTTTTCTCGTATGTGTGTGTAATTTCTTTCTTTCTCGCTTTCTGAAAATGACAAATTTTGGACAAAAGGCTTTTGAAAGTCTGCTCCTCAATTGTTTTTATTATACTAGAGAGATATTTATTAGGATTGGGGCAGTAAGGGCGAAAGGTGTCGAACGAGTGATAAAATGACACGAGTGTGGTTAATACGTTTTTTTCTACGTTTCTATTTATTATGAAAATATAATACAAAACATCCTATGTTGTATTACATAGATAACAATGCTCAATTAACGTTTTTTTCCCTTTTGTCTTGTAACGTTACCATCCAACACTATGAGAAGCATGTCGGGATAGGTAAGATCTTGTTCTCGTCTCTCTTCCTCTTTTTATTTATTCATTTTCCTTCAATTGGAGAAAAGGCCCGATATACAGAGAGATATATAGACGAAACGTTATAGAGCAAGATTACAGATTTGAGAACGAAGAAATCAAACTAGTTTTACAAAAAAGAGCGCTCGCTAGAGCACGAGCTAGACGGTAGGAGGAGGCAGGTTTTACAGAGATAGGGGAAGATGGATGAGGAGAGTAAGGGGATG